CGACTGCTAGTAGCATTGCAATGCTGTATTTATACACTATGAAGGATCTTAACTGCATTTGCCCTCAAAAAGAGTTCTAATTCTGTTTTGGTTTAGCAGCATACAGGCAACAGCTAGATTATTCTTCAGCATACAACTCTGTTAGCTGGCTTATTTATGAGATTTACAGGCTTCTTTTTTTTAAATTAGCATTATGCTATAATTAACAAAAACAAAACAAAAAACTAGTATATCATAACAGATTAAACACACAAAATACTTAGAGTTCCAGAAGATAACCTATCATACCAAATGATGAGTCCCAACAGGTGGGAAAACAACACCATCAAGTGGCATACAAAAGTTATATTATAATGCACCTTTCATATATCAATGTGGCTAATAACACAGCTTAAAACTACTATGATAATAAACCCCAGATCAGACAAAGAATCCAGCTTTATAAAATGCGTAACAACAAAAAAAGACATTACTTGATCTTCTGAAATGTCTGCTGTTTTTAAATTAATGCAACCTAGTTGCAAATCGCGAGACCCATTCAGAATAGCGTGTGATGCATTTCAGTTTGCAGTAGAACTATGAGGCACTGTGTACAAACATTAAAACCTGGTCTAAACATGGTTAACTGAAGTATGAGGTATTGTGAAACAGGAACCTTTTTGGAATAGAGCAGTAATCACATTAAGTAAAAATTGATCACATAAAAAATCTACAAAAAAAATGATGTCAATAATATAATTTTCTATGAGAAAATTAAACCTATAACATGGCAGTATATGACATTGTATAACAAAAAAAAAAACTGATCCACAAAATAGCAGCAAAACACAATGACAAAGATACAGAAAAGCAATGTTAATTTTTTTTTCAAACCATGCTGGGAATTTATCCATAGCAGCTCAATAAAATGGAGTATCCACTCCTTTTCTTTTTTTGTTTTTTTTTTTCCTTTTTTTCTTTTTTAATTTTTTTTTTTTTACAATCAACACCTTAGCGGCAGTTTTCTCACATACATTTCACCACCACATTCTCCTCGAGCATCAACTTCAACAGCTATGTCCACGTCCCTTCAGCTACTTTCTAAAATAATAATAAAAAGATACATAGCCAAGATGTGCAAATTTTCTATTTGTAGCTAAAATAAAACAAAAAACAAAATAGGGGGATATATTGGAATAAGATCTTCTTTCAAGTACACCAATTCTATTGTTTTTTTAACTATGGCGTTTCTCATGGTTAGATTGTTTTTTGGAAGTGTATAAGAAGGGGCCGAATATACTGTTTTTTAAAAAGAGTGTCTATTTAATTTTCTCAGTAAGCTGTGTTAAAACTGCAACATCAAGGGTAGAAGGATATTTTTTTAAAACATCAAGGGGCGATTGCATTATTTTACAAATCATACTGGCCTTATGAACATCCTCTGCAATAAATATTCTTTTTAGCCCTAACTATAAATTATATATTTTAGTGTTTAAAAACCTTCAGTTGCAAGACATCTAGAGACAATCCTTAAACTATGTGTTCTATATGTGAACCTTTAAGGCCCCTAATTTACAAACATGAGTTGGCACCAAAGGATTCATAAACTTCAACTTTTCTATAGAAAAGGATAGGAAAATATCCTGGCAATTTGTGAATGCAATTTCTTTCACTGGAACCCAACCTTCGGAAAAAAAATCACCTTTCCTCTAACACCATAGTTAAATGCACTTGCTTTGCAATTTCATGTTTGCACACAAGCACTTATATATTTCCAAACCATTCCATTTAAAAAAAAATTCCCACACAATAAAAGAACGTATTTCCTATATCTAATGGACTGAAAGTGCTTTGAATGGAATGGTTTTAGAATATTAAAAAAAAAAAAAAAAGACTAGGCTGTGGATTGAACCTGACCATAATTAGGCTGAAGATCTGTTGGGTCAGACCAGCATTTTATACACAGGTAACTACAAAAATATGAAGATTACAAAAATATAATATATTATGTCACTATTTCGGTTCCTCTTTATAATAGAGTATCGTATGAGTAGTACATTGGGCCTTCCCCAACAATGCTAAGCTGGAACCCTACAAAAGCCTTATGCACAGGCAATCCACAGGCACAAAAGATTAACATATTATAATGCTGTATACTAACATACACTAACTTATGGGTTACGTTAACCATTTATAAGGTGAAGAGGATAAAAACCTAAGAAAATAAAATAAACATTTACAGATGAATTATAAAGTGACTAAATGCATAAGCAAGCAAGATACAGAAAAGCCTAGAACTGCGTTAAAGCTATGTTTTTAAAGAAAAAAACAAAAGAATATGTCATTTTCTATCTAAAAAATAACCCTCTTCTACTTTAAAAATGGTTTATTTGTTTTGTTTGTTTTGTATGTAAGAAATCAAATCTAATACCTCCCCTGGAGACATTTTGTGTGTTAATGCCTATTTTTACAACATACAGACAAGAACACTTTAATATAAAAACTAGTTGATTATTATTGTATAAAATCCTCTATTTTTGTAGCACAAACCCCTTGGGGTCATGCAAATACTATTTTTCTTTTTTTAAGACAGTTTTTGGGGTATTTTGTTTGTTTGTTTTTAAGTCACAGATGGAAGGGAGAAAGAGCAAGGAAAAATAAGAAGAGTGAAGCTTTCCCTTCTGGTATAAAAACGTCCTGGAGAAAAGGGTTTCTGGGGGGGAGATCCTGATGCTGATTCCTTCGCAGATGCCCTTTCTTTGTTTGCTTTCATGGCCAAGCAAACCCATTAGAAGAAGTCCTCTTAAATGTTCACATCTCGCACATCAGTGGGTGTGCAGGAAAGATCTGCCTCATCCTCAACAGTCTTTGTTTCTGAAGATATGTTGTGCTGCTGTGCCTGGCGTAGACTGGATTCGAGGAGGGATTCAATCTGTTCTTGGCAGGCTCGTAAACAGTCCTAGAGAATATTAAAAGGAAGAAAAAACCCACAATCCTTTAGAAAACATACAATATTATAATTCAAATGCCATCTCTGTAGAAGGCAAAGAAAAATGTAATGACTTGCAAAGAGACATGAAAAATGGACTAGAGACCCTTACATTTACAAATTTGCTGGCTTGAATCCAGACCACCTCAGAAACTGACCATACATTTTTGCCATTTGATATTTAGTGTCCTAAACCAAGTACTGTGCAGTTGTAGTCCAGCTCTCAGAGGGAACATCTCAAAAATCATTTCAAGAAACTATCTCCCAAACCAACCCCAACCTGACAAGTGGTTAGTCTTTGCACAGAAGCCACTAACTGAATGGGCAATGAGCACTAGATTACAGCATCACCTAGAACAAAGGTCCCTCCAGCTAGAGGTACTTTGATAGGATCATGCATTGAAGCTTGATGCTTTTCTTTTGTCTCTGAATCTACAAAAAAAGTCTCTCAAAGGCATATCTTGAAGGCATGGTGTTTTTCATTAATAACATTTTCCCACGTTACAGTTTGGGAAGAAGAACAATGTGGTCTCATTTTGTTCTTTCTTACAGCAGAATGAATCAAGAGTAACTATTTTAAACTCTTGGCACTACACAGGTGTAAACTGGAGACACGAATTAGGTACCAAGTCTATGGTGTTATAAAATGTCCACCTTCACTAAAGAAACACTTTGGCACCACAGCCCAGAGGAACTGATAAAATATTTTCCTTAGGCTGAGTTTTACTGATACTAAATTATCTTGGAAAAAGTTTAGACAAAAAACTGTAGCATCTCACAAGACAAAAATGGATGTTATTAAGCCCCCAGTGGGCACATCTATATGGGTATATAAATATGAAGCAATAAACTCCAACACAGATTGTGCCTGAGTTTATCGCTCCTGGGCACTGTGTTTACATGTGCGCTTGGGACCACAGCATGTTGAGTCAGGTTGGAGCAGCCCTGGCTAGCAAGAGGCCCACAGGTCAACCTGACAGCCTGGGACTGCTCCAGCCTAGCTCAACATGCTGCAGAGGGGCTGGCTTGGACATGAGAGTGCTCCAGGGTGGGGCTAGCTGGCAGGCAGCCCCTGCACTTTAGCACCCTCATACTTCAGCCAGCTGGGTCAGCATGTACATGCATGCTACCGTGCATGAAACAACTGTGCAGCAGGACAGTACTTGCATTTACAAGTACTAACCTGCTGTGGAGTTTATTAGTTTCCTGTGGTCTAACATGTAGGTGCCAAGATATTTACTGCGGAGCTAATTAGACAACCCTACAGCAAGCAGCTTGTGTAGATGTGCCCAGTAAATATCTTTGTGACAATGAGACAGAAAGTTCTGCTGACTGCACTCATCTACACACATGCTAAGCAGAAGTGAGACAATTCTCCATTTTGTTTTTTGCTTTTCTCACAGATGAATATCAGCTTGTTCCTGTTAAATATCGAGTGCCTTGGGCAACCAGGAAGGTAACTCAGTCCCCTCAGCTCCCCTCCTCCCACCTTAACAAAAATAGAAATGAAAGAGCACAAAGTATGTTGCAGGATCAAGCTTTACATGGGTAAAAAAAAAAAAAAGCCCCTAGGCATGCAAGTATACAAGTAGGAACAGGCATATCAGGCATCCAAACCTCCTTATTAATAGAATCATAGAAATTAAAGATGGAAAAGACCTGTTAGATCATCCAGTCCAGCTTCCTGCAAGAGCAGGTTACACATTCTTCAGTACCATGTACACCCACTGCAAGGGCATAGAACTGATGCCTTAAATAGGCAAAACAATCCCAAACAATTTGGGCAAAATTCCTCTGGCACATTGTTTACTCATGCCCTTATAACAAACATCGTAAGCTTTTCTGAACATATTTAACTCTGTGTATTATGGACTTTGAAGTTTCCTTTCAGTATTGCCTTTTCTGATTTAACCTATGACATGCGTTAGCCCTTGCGGTGAACCCAGTCTTCCATGATAAATTGCCGTCAAAAGTGTTAGGATGTGCATGACTGAGAATGAATGTTGTTTTCCTGAGAGGGTGACCTGCCTGCTGTTTTCTTTATTTCCCAGTTTCAATTCTGCCTTCATTCAGAGGCTTCTTGTGTGATCTACCAGCTTTTCACTGATTCCACTACCACAAGAACCTCCTCTGCCACCAATAAGGGCACATGGCATTTGGGGTAAAATAAGATTAGAAACCCAAGAAAACAATTCTCTGCAAGTCCTTTCTGAGAGAGAGGGAGGTTAATCCTACCTCTAAGCAGATCAGACCATCAGTTACAGCTCACTGAAAACAGTAACCTATGACCTTTTCTGGTTTAAACCCTAGTGTAATATTTCCTCTTGACAGAGACACACAGCATTTTAAATGACAAAAAGAAATGCCTTATATCCTAAAGTCATCATGCCTTTGGCTCCTACATACTCAAGCCTTACCAGTACGATCTCTAAGAAGACTCCCCAAGAGAATATGGACCATTTCTGGGTTCAGAAGCCACAGGTCCCCCATTTTAACTCCTGAGAGTACACACCTCACAACCCACATAGAAATAGGCATACAGAAATAAAAAAGAAATATGGTATATTTTCTCTTTCCAACAGTTCACACAAATTGAGGAGACTCAATCATACAAGCCCAGTCAGTGTTTTATACCAAAAGCCAATTCATCCTCATTTTGAGACTTTTCAAACACTGGTGCTTCTTTCTGAAAATACTTGTATTCGCTTGTAGCATGTTTGAATTCTGAAAACTAAAATATGAACTAATTTTACTCATAGATTAAAGCAGCAATTAATCCACTTTGTAAGCAGGTCAGAAGGGTATATGTAAATGCATACTGTTTTCACTCTGGAGCTCAGTCTTGGATGATTTACTTTAAAGGTAAATTTCCGATCACAGAAAACAATCTTTACTGTGAGACTGTAGGGGTGGATTGAGGTGTAACCACAAACTGATCAACAAAAAGTACAATCTTAATTTACTGTAAAACAGGTTGTCTTTTATGATGCAATCTAGTGAAGAAAATTATTTTTGAAAGGTTATTTTGTGTGCTTTAGTTCAAATTATTGTTCACTTAGATATTAGAAGAATAGGTATTCTGAAAGAAGCAATTAGATGCAAATTTGCTTTGTACAATCTCATCACAATAGTAATATTACTGGAAACTGGTTATATGCTGAAGTTTTGTTGTTCACTCTACTCATGGTTTCTCAATACTGAGAGCAAATACAAAACTCTGATAATTTTTCCCAACAACTTTTCTGCTTCACTACCCAAATTTTCCATGCCCACAGTTTGTTCAAGGTCATAAGCCCTTCTTGGATAAATTAAGCTTCTCAGTGAAAAAGAGTTGCTAGCTTACTTATGTGGTCAAATACCTTTATTTAACGTATACAGTAGACACAATCAGATTGAAATTCAGTCCAGCATAAGACTTATAGGTCAGACACAAAGGGAAACAAACAACAACAACAAAGAAACTATTGGGAAGCTTTTGTTATTACCCGACTCATTGTGGATCACAGGCAACATTTGAAGGTGCCTCTGGTGTGAGCAGGCAGGAGAAGCAAATTCCAGTGCATTAACAGACAGCATAGAAACCCAACCTAATCTAGTTTAGCAAATTTCTGGCCTGGAAATGAATGTCAGGCAAAATTCAATCTGTTTGGATGATGGGGTCAAGAATAGAATGATGGAAGACAGCCCAAGACTTCTAATTGTGATTATCTAGGTTCTAATTACTACTGATCAAAGGCAAAATGGGAAATTGGACTCTTACCAATGTAAACATGAACCATAAAGGAATTTCAATCAGGTGATATTCATTTTACTTTAGACTCAGCTTTCTTGAAACTAAAGGAAAAAGTATCACTATAAAAACTAAAGCGCAACAAACAAGCTGCTATGTCTAACAATAAATTGTTAAATATATTTTAATGCATCTTATTACTGTACCAAAATAATCCAATATAAAGCACAGTAAATGATTGCAATGTGTATCCATTACTTGTGGACCAACAAACCAAAGCAGAGATATTAATTAATTTTTCAAAGTCATGATTTGTGTTTGACACTTCAGTTAAATTAATTTGTTCTACAGGAAATACTCTATGTTAAGGGATTCATTTCTATTGAAAACCAAGTAATTGTTTTATGCACAGGATTATTATAATGGAAAATATTGCACTTCAATTCAAATTTCTTGCATTGGATAGATGCCATGTGTACACTGAGGTACCTGAATTGTTCACATACTCATTGAAGTATTACAGGTACTCACAGCATCCTATTTTGCTTAACAATTAAGCACTGAATTGGTACTACTAAATTCTGCTGTGGTAACAGCAAAGGCAAAAATCATTGTATTTTAAAATAATTAGGATGTGCAAAATCATAAGCAATAGTGAAGTATCTATTATTTGTTTTGCATAAATATATCACCAAAAAATCCTTCTTTGTGATCTATTTCTTATGATTCAGTCATGGATAAGCATCTTACCAGGACTCATTAAAATTTTTCAGACAAAAGCCAATTACATTAAATTTGGTCTCAACTTGCTTGGTGTGTGTATATATTTTAGCTTATGAACATGTAAAATAAAAGGTTCAGCAGCATCTCATAGATTCTCCTGTTAACCACAGGGTTGTCTCTGACTCATTGTCCAGTGCTTGGAGACCTCACAGGAACCTTTTTAAAGCATCTATTTATTGGTCTTCCACATTGTTACAAAACAAAGCTAAACTCTGCCCCAACTTCACACACCATTATAACATGGATCATTGACTTTAGGTCTTCCTTGTAGGCTCCCTTCCTGGCCCATTCACTCATGAAAGGTTTATTGCTCACTAGTTACTGATGTGCATCTCCTGGAAGCTGCAGGGCAAAATGAGAGTCCTGTGAGGACCATCTACCTTGTCAGAAAGTTGTGGGACAACATTTGTTCCAAAAAGGAATTCAATACCAGCTACTGTGCAGATCTAGCACATAATAAACCAAATTAGATAATTACAACCCCTTTAAAAAAGGCTTTTCACAACACTTGACATAATAAAGCGTCTCAGGAGTGGTCAAAGATAAGGTCAGAGATACCATGAGGTCTATTTATTGCAATCTTAGTAACTATTTCCTTGTTTTATTTTAAAGGTTTTTGTTCTACATATGACTGCTGGTTTCATTACCTGCAAATCAAATACAGCCCCTAAAAACTCCAAATCAATTAAGAGTTTCCTTTGCTTTGTTGATACACTCTTCTGAAGAACTGGTTGTGGCATATCAATGAACTGCAGCAGTGTTATTTCTGGTTATTAATGTATATAGCGATAAGTAATAGTAACAAAACCAAATTAGAATATAGTTGAAAAAACATTTTGAGGCTTAACTTTTATCAAAAGGTACTATTGGTTCATCTATCACATATTAAAAAGGCATTCAATATAAAACTCTGAGACAGACAGACTGAAAGAATCACTTACCGGGTCACATTTGATAACTTGTGATAGGAAGTGTGTGAGGCACTGATAGGAGAGGAAAGTGTTAGTGTTTCCCAGGTGAAGGCCTTGCACAGCTGCTACCACACTGCCAGCTGCGATCATGGAGGGTGGGTTTGAAATAAACTTAACATCTGTTTAAAGAGAAAAGGAAAAGAGAATTGATTTCTTTAGGATAAGCCTACTTGTATATGTGATATCACTTCTGTGGGTGCAAGTCAAATGCTGCAGGTCTAAAAAGATGAAGGAAACGTAACATAAAGGTCCCTCCCCACAAAACTTAACAATATATGCAATTACAGGCCCAACTCTGCTAATGCTTATGCCTATGAATAACCTGACTTGGGTAAGTAGCCCCTCATTCCTTTGAGATATGTGAAACATACACAGGCCCTAATCCTGTAGACATGAAAGCAATTTGCTCCTGTGAGTCTTGCCATTTAAGTTAATGAATCTACTCATGTGAGTAAAGCAGTTAGCAATCTTGAATGTTTGCATAAGCAGAGACTAGGTGAATTATGACTTGAGATATAAGCAGTCTTTGAATCTTAAGCCCTTCAGATCAGAATCCTGTACAATTACATTAGAAAGAAAAATGTATAACTTTAATGAACAAAAAGAGAGAGAAAATGAGAAAACACTTAACCTTGTCAGTGGATAATCCAAATTTAAATTAAGGTTTCATCTTAAAAATGCTTTGTCTCAACCTAGTCTCTTGTCAGTGGCTGCCATCCATCCTGGCAACCGGGATTTAATGTAAATGTGGCATAACTAAGTGACGGGGGTCCCAAGAATTGGCGGACAATCAGTTACATTCTGATGTGACACCATGCTGACAAGAGGCTGGGCCCCCTTCCAGACCGCATTGCTGTAGGTCTCTCTACAAAGCCACTCCCATGATTCCTTGAGGGGC